ATGTGGTATATAACATTATTTGAAAGTAAACTGTAAAATGCTAAATAAAGATATATGTTTTAAATGCTAGATAAACTACTGTAAAAATTTTAAAAACCAGTAGAGCTAATAAATCAGTAGTGGAGATAAAGTGTAATAACTTTAAAAATCAATCCAAAAGAAGGAAAAAGAACATATTGCCAATTAGAAAACAACTAGTAAAATAGCAAATGTAAATCAAGCTGTCTTAATAATCACATTAAATGTAAATGGTATAACCACCCCAATATAAAGCAAAGATTTTTAAATTGAAGAAAAATATAACATTCAACTATATGCCATATACAAAAAACTTGCTTTTAATATAAAAATCATGTATAAGTTAAAAGTAAAAGGATGCAACAAGATATACCATGCAAACACTAATCAAAAGAAAGCATGAGTATATAACACAAGTTGATTTCAGACTAAGGAATATTATCAGAGATAAAGAGAGACACTTTAAAATAAAAGGGTCAATTCATTAAGGGACATAATAATCCTGAAGGTGATGCACCTAAGAACAGAATTTTATAACACATGAAGCAAAAACTGATAGAACTGAAAAGGAAGATGGACAAATCCAAAATTATAGTAGGTGATTTCAATGCTTCTCTCTCAGTTGATAGAAAAAATAGACAGAAATCCAGAAAGACTATAGAAAATTTCAACAACACTGTCAACCAACTTGGACTAAGTAGTATTTATAAAATAATCCAATCAACAAAAATAGAATTACTTTGAGCTTACATGGAACAATAAGTAACCAAAATAGGCCATATTCTGAGCTATAACATGACTCAATAAATTAAAACTATATCCTTTGACCACAACAGATTCAAATTAGAAAACAATAACAGAAAGATATCTCGAAAAATCCCCAAATATTTGGAAATTAAACAACACAATTTCACATTATTATTGAAAATTGGATGAAAATGATGTGAAAGACTTAACTTCAGATTAAAGATCATTTTTATTTATCCTTATAGTGTTTTCTTGAAGCTCTGCATTAAAGGTTTGTAGATTTATGTTGAGGCCAGGTCAAAATTGCAGTGCCCAAAGAGATTGAACAGAATGTTATGAAAACAAGTATTATTCTTTTGTATATTATAAATGACCATATGCCCTGACTAGTGTGGCTCAGTGGATTGAGTGCCAGCCTGCAAACCAAAGGGTTGCTGGTTCAATTCCCAGTCAGGATATATTACCTGGGGTGCAGGCCAGGACCCCAGTAGGGGGCATGCAAGAGGCAACCACACATTGATGTTTCTCTCCCTCCTTCTACCTCCTTTCCCCTCTCTCTAAAATGAATAAATAAATAAATATCTTTAAAAAATAAAATAAAAACCTATGGCTCCATATCTAAAAAAAAATGACCATAGATCTTTTGAGGGAGGGAGGGAGACACAGGGAGAAGACTGGGAAAGAGAGAGGGAAGGGGAGGAGAGGGAGGGAAAAAGAAAGATTTCAAAGATATTATTGGAGTTGCTGCCACAATAAAAACTATTCAGATATAAAGAAATCATACCCTTCTAGAAGGCCAAAACAACTCAATTTATCCTAAAAGAGTCACAAGAAAATAAAAATGTCCAATTTTTTTTCATAACTTTTATCTGTAAAAATATTTTACTTATCCATGAATCCCCAGGAATGTTATAGATTTAGTAGTTTGTTAAGTATAAGTGAACTAATATGCATTAGTTATGTATTAGTTTAAGCACCATAGTAGATTTTATAATCTTTTAATCTGCTAATCCTCTACAGCATTTTAGTAGGTTATTTTTTATTGTATTTTTTCCATTACTATTTATCCCCCTTACACCCTCTTCTACCTTCACCCATCCCCTCTCCCACATGCAGTCACCACACTGTTATCTGTGTCCATGAGTCCTTTTTCTTTTATGCTTAATTCTTCCACCCCCAACCTCCCCACCGGAGCTGTTAACCTGCTCTCTATGAGTCTGTCTCTATTTTGCTTGTTAATTCAGTTTGTTCATTAAATCCACATATATGTGAAATCATATGGTATTTGCCTTTCTCTTACTGGCTTATTTCACTTAGCATAATGTTCTCCAAGTCCAACCATGTTGTCGCAAAGGGTAAAATTTTCTTTTTTATGACCAAATAGTATTCCATTGTGTAAATATCCCAAGGTTGTTTTATCCACTCATCTACTGATGGACACTTGGGCTGCTTCCATATCTTGGTGATTGTAAATGATGCTGCAATGAACATAGGGGTGCTTATGTTCTTTTGAATTAGTGTTTTGGGTTCCACTGGACATATTCCCAGAAGTAGAATCGCTGGGTCATAGGCAGTTCTATTTTTTAATTTGTTGAGATAACTGCATACTGCCTTCCACAGTGGCTCCACCAATCTGCATTCCCACCAAGAGTACAGAAGTGTTCCCCTTTCTCCACATCCTCACCAGCACTTGGGGTTTGTTGATTTGGTTATGATGGCCATTCTGACAGGTGTGAGATGACATCTCATTGTGGTTTTAATGTACATTTCTCTGATGATTAGTGATGTTGAGCATCCTTTCATATGTTTATTAGCCATCTGTATGTCCTCTTTGGAGAAGTCTCTTTAGGTCCTTTGCCCATTTTTTAATTGGATTTTCTGTTCTTGGTGGTGGTGGTGTTTTTCTGTGTTGAGTTTTATAAATTCTTTATAAATTTTGGATATTAACCCCTAATCAAATGTATCAGTGAATATGTTCTCCCATTCTATGGTTTATCTGTTTATTTTGCTGTGCAAAAAAATTTTTTTTAGTTTGATATAGTCCCATTTGTTTATTTTTTCTTTTGTTTCCCTTGCCTGAGGAGATATATCAGTAAAAACATTGCTATAAGCAGTGTTTGAGATTTTACTGCCGATATTTTCTTCTAGGATGAAGTGTTTCATAAATTAGAGTTTAAAGATGAAAGAACTGAGGTCAAAAGAGATTAAGTAACTTGCACACAGCCACAGAACCAGTAAATGGTAGAGAGAATACTTGAACCCAGATCTTCATGACTTCAATGCACAAATTCCATAATTTGAATGATAAAAGTGATTTCCTTCTTTTTCTTCATTCATTCCTTAAACACGTAACTTCCCTAGCAGCCAGTAAAAGAACAGAGCCCTTTAGTCTGGATGACTTTGTAAAGTCACTAGTTCCCTAGGACGGTGTGTGCGTGCAAAGTTTTTACTCTGCCCCATCCGGGTCCCAGTCAGCCTTAGCCACTTTGGCATCTCCCTTTTTTTTGGAAAAACCATCATTGCCTGGCCGCAGCACTGCTCCATTCTGAATCATCTGCACTGGAGGCTTCGCCTGCCTCCTGCAGCTCACCAGGTGCACAGGTCAAACTCATGTGCATAGAAGCAGCGTCTCTGTCTCTACTCACTCCACCTGCCAGGTGCCCCAGCATGCCACACCCATACTCACAGACACTATGAAAACATGAATGAGATATTTAGACATATGTCAACCTGACCCACACCATTGTCCCAATTAGAGGAACACTGTGTGCAGCTGTCAAATAACCAGTAACTCTAATAGAATTATTGGGTAATTTTTGATCAAGTGAAAAATTTAAAAAACTTCTCAAAGAGCATATACTTTACAGGACAATACCCAGGGCAAAGCATTCATGGCTTAGATGTTAAGTTCGAAGTCAAGGGCACATGGTATAACCTACCTTTGAACAGAATTATCACTCTATTCAATTAGGTGTAGAGTTTTCTTTTCTGTCCAACTCCTACTCCTTGACATGAGTTTAAAGTTTATTTACCTTGTTAGATTAAGTAAGAGATTTCTGTAGTTTGACTCTCATGGATCTCTGAAAGTTCAAATTCCACCATACCCAAAATGTTAGAAACATTTTGATGAATGCAACTAACTTTTGTACAAGGAAAAACTCCTCCATAGAGCATGCTGGCTCAGTTAATTTCAACTTATTAGTACCAGACTAAGTGAAAACAACATAGAGCTGAGCTTATAAATAATGAGACTGTACATGTTTTCAGAGTGTCTCTTCTCAACACTTAGGATTTCACACAGCAACTGCCTGCAGAGAAATGGTCAAAGATAAGATGTTACATGTTGTATTACTTTGTGGTAGAACACATCAATCACTCCAAGTCAACACATGTATTAAACTCCTACTATAGGATGATTTCAGGGTGTTTCAAGTGCATTACATTCAAGCTTTCCTCTTGTGTGTGGCCTGGTTCCTAACAGGCCTGGACTGGTAGCTGTCCTCAGCCGGGAGGTTTGGGGACCCCTGCTATATGTTGTCTCTAATATTCTTCAATAGCGATAATTTTTTAATGACCTTCTTTCTCTCATTTTTATCTTTCACATTATTTCCATAGACTAGCATCTTAAATACTAAACTGCTTGGATAAGATATTAAACAATTTAAGATTGCTGGAACATATTTTAAGATTAATTTGTTCAAGCATTTGTACAAATTTATAGTCCTACTTGAAGTTTTAAATTTAGCAGTCTGTGTGGATTTTAATTTTTGCTCCCAAGTGCCATATAGATGCTACTAAGTCTCTTATAAACATTACTCTGTGAAAAACTACACCTTTAAAAAATATTACTCTCAGTAAAAGAAGTTTAATAAGCTTAACTAAACATTTAGAAAGCATATTGTATTCTTGGTATGTAATAAATAATGAAAGTAATAGAAGATCTTATCAGATGATTGGTCTGTAATCGTGTCAAGGAAAGAACACAATGAAACAAGTTCTTTTGGTTACTTCCTCAATCAGCCAAAATGGGGAAAGTGGAGGAAATGTCCCATGAACACTATGACTAGAGAACCAAAAAGCTTAAAGTGTAAACTTGGAGAAATGACAGCTTTAGAAAACAAAATCAACAAAAGAGAACACCTTTCAGAACAATCTGAGATGCGTGAAAGGCAAACATTCACCAGAATTGAAGCTTTATAAACATGCAGAGAGATGTGGCATATTTGACCTTCACCATGATTAACAAGCACTTCTTTGAAACTCTGTTGGTGCTGCTGGCCTCTTTCACTCTCTTCTCTCTCTAGAACTGAAACTGGTTCTCTTCCAACAAGGAAACGTGAACAGAGAAAGTTTAAAACTTTTGAATCATTTGCAAACCTCATCAATTCAGCAGTGTCTACCACACAAGAAAAACTTCCTGCTTCCCCAGAAGGCTGTAAGTCCTCACCAGTACAAGGAAGGATATGCACTGACCATTCTTCACGAGATGCTTCAGCAGATCTTCAAACTATTTGGGGCAAATATTTCTCTGGATGGTTGGGAGGAAAGCCAGGTGAAGAAGTTCCTCATTGAACTTCATCAACAACTAGAATACCTAGAAACGTCCATGGGACTGCAAGCAGATCAGAAAAGTGGTACCGTAGGTAATGAGAACCTTTGGTTACAAGTTAAAATGTACTTCCAAAGGATCTGTGATTACCTGGAAAACCACATATACAGCAGCTGTGCCTGGACCATTGTCCAAGTAGAAATCAACTGGTGTCTCTCCTTTATGTTCCGACTCACAGGAAAGCTGGGCAAGCAAGAAATGGACCCTTGAACCATGTGAAGCAAGAGTCAACTGCAGGCTTTAAAAGCATAAGGTAGGTGGAGGTGTGGAAGGGCTTCTCCAGATATTATTATTTCTTTTTGTCATGAAATGGTAGCATAGTTTTGGTTTTGTGTGTAAACATATATCTGTACCTTAGGATTATGGACATTGACAAATGTTTTTATTTTGCAATGTCACTTTATATTTTCTATCCATTTTAGATTTTTATGAGTTGAAACATATTCATTAATATTTCATAATTGATTCTTCAAATGGGTATATTTTCATAAAAGTTGGCTGGGTAAATATAATAAAATATGTTTCCACTGTAATCATACTTTTGTAAACAATAGGACATCATTCCAATGATTTTCTTATTTGCCAGAAATTGACAGAAGCAATGAGAAATACCAGGGATGATTTGCGTTGCAAGATTTGAAAATATCATCACACATGGAATATTTGTTATAGGTGACACAGTAGAAATATAACTAAAATATATGAACAAACAGTTTGTAGAGGAAAAAATGAAAAGCAGTTCAATCTCATTCATAATGAAAGTACAAACTGTAAGTGAATAACAAGACATTTATAACCTATCAGGTAGGTAAAAGTGTGAAGTTTGATTTAAAGAAAAAAATCTTGCAAACTTTAGGGAAGGTGCTCTTAAAATTTTCCAGAGCACTGGAAATTGATGTGATCACTGTAGAGTTATTTTGGTGTCTATCAAAATTACAGATGCATATAGTCTGTGATCTATCAATTCTAGGTTTGGAAATGTAGCCTAGAAAAAACACTTGCACATGTGTGAAATGACTTATGTACATATAATAGAATTCATTGCAACATTATTTGTAATATCAAAAGACAGAAAACCACCCAAATTCTTCTAATTAGAGACTGGTAAGGTGTAGTCAAACAAAGGAACACTATGCAGCTGGAGTAAAGCATGAGGGTTGCTCTTTCCATAAAAAAAGTCAAAAAATAAAGTAAAAGAGTAAAAAAGTAAGCAAGTTGCAGAAGTGTGTATAAAATTCTGTATTTGAAATTATAATATAAAATTTATATTTGACATTATTTATGTATGAATAAATAAAGAATATATGAGAAATAAATTGCAATGATTACTCATTTTGGGGGAGGGAAGTAAGAGAGATTAATGGAGGAAGACAGAGTGGGAGAGATTTTACAACATGTTTCTATATTTAAATTTTTAATTATGTGAATTTTACCAAATAAAATAATAAATTAAAATGTATCTAACAAGTCACAGTTCTCAGAAATATGGATGGATGCTTCCTGGTGAAAAGAAGTCCTAGGCACAGGTTAGAAGAAACAGGACTGAGCCAGCCTGCCCTTGGCTGCGGTGGGCAGAAGGAGGAGGGCTGGGCGGAGGGAAGAGCACCCAGGCCAAGGGAGACGGCTCTTACTCCTGGGATGGCCTGGTGATGAAGGAGTCTAGCTCTTCCAGCTAGGAGCTCCCAAGAATCGTTAAGGAACAAATGTGGGGCCAGGGAAACTGAAATTCACTGAGCCTTGGTGGCTTTCCCGCAGTCATAGTAACTTTTGCCCACTCTAAGAAGCAGAGCCTTGCTCCCAAAATCTGCATCTGGTTCTACTACTTTGTCATGTCCTGCTTTGGATTAACTGTATAATTCAAGATAAAAGTTATCACAATATAAAACTTGCTGAAGAATAAAACGTATTCCATTTCAGTTTAATTTGTGTGAGTAAGTATATTAGCTCTTGACCAATGCTTCCAGATTTGGCTTAAAAGAGAGGAGGAGGAACCAAATAAGATCCTGAGAGTGAGGCAGGGTCAGCTGCAATAGCAAAGGGAGCAGGGAAGCAGAGGCTGGGCAGTCAGGAGGAAGTCTTTGTCAAGTTCACGTTTCAACCTGAGAGTTGACCTATTTACCTTCAGGTTCATACAGAGGTGGGGAAGCGGAAAGAACAGAAGTATCTATGATCAACTGTGAACACAGTTCATTTGCGTCTCATGTCTGTAGAAATTTTGGGTTTTTTCAAACCAGGAAAATGTCCAAATTAAATATTTCATTTAACATGTTATTCACTTCTCAAATTAACCTTGCAAGGTAGTTACATTATTATCTCTTTTTCTCAGGTGAGGAGAAGACTTTAAAGGTTAAGCAACTTGCTGAAAATAACACTGTAAGCCACACAACTAGCAAATACTGGAGCAAAGATTCCCTCCCAAGTCTGCCTGACTCGAAAGCCAGCACCATTTGCTGGACACCACAAACTGGAGTGAAATCGTACAGTATCACTATAAAATAATGGGAACAGTAATGTTAATAATTAGCTCCCGTCTTTTCTTATTCAAGTTTACACACTCCTTGCAGTCATGCATTAAAAAAAGGATGTTTTCTCTACCTGGACATTTCTTTCTTAATAACTTAGGAGAACAGGATGGAGGAGCTGCCAAGTGGAAACTTAGAGCAGATAATACTCATAAGTAGAAGCTAAAACCAATACTTTACATGCTGTTGTGTCCCCAAACATTTAGCTTTATTAAGTTGACATCCTGCTAGTATAATTGCTATAACTGCTTCATACAAAATTAAAATCACTTGCTTTTAACTATGTGCCCTTTTAAAACTTTAAAACCAAAGTTCTAAACTTAGGTATTAAGGAAGGGAATACTTTAATAGACTAGACTTACTACTAGTAGTTGTATGTGGGGGAGGTCCAGAGTAAAGGCTTACTTATACTCATAGGCTGCATCATCTGAATTATCCTTGTTACATCTACATGTACTTCGCCAGATAGAGTATTAAATCAACAAACAGGTTACAAAAGAAATATAGCATCATATTTTCCATAAATAAAACATTCATGAAAAATACTAGAAAAGAAATGCACTAAAATGTTTACAATAGTAGTATATGTGCAATAGAATTTTCATTCTCTTAAATTTCTTGGATTAAATATTTCCCCCATGTATATGAAATCATTTGCAATCAGAAAAAAATTGTTATTTTTGAACTTTGAAAAAATGAACAAAAAAGTACGGCCCCTTATAGAAATTTGGTTTAGGGTACTTATCACCTGCAGTAAATTAAGTCCCATGTATCGGAATCATCTGAAGGGCTTGTTAGAGCAGATTAAATGACATCCTGACCAGTATGGCTCACTTGGTGGGACATTGTTCTGCAAAGCAAAGGACTGCTGGTCAGTCGGGGCACATACCTGGGTGGTGGGTCTGGTCCGCACTTGGGGCACATACGAGGGCAACTGATCAATGTTTCTCTCTCACATTGATGTTTTTTCCCCTCCCTTCCCTTCTCTCTAAAAATTAATAAATAAACTATTTTTTAAAAAAGCCATATTGAATGGCTTCAACCCCAGTTTTTCTGACCCTGCAGGTCTGTGGAGGGCCTGAGTATTTGCATTCTGAACAAATTTCTAGATGATGATGACGGGGTCTTGTGACTAAACATTATACACCACACACATATTTATTGATTATTGATAGCCTTAGCATACTTTAAACAGATGAAAGCATGGTCTCTTTGAGGTTACCGATCTCATATTTTTTCACAATAAATGGAAGGAAGCAAGCATCCTAGATAGGAGAGAATTGGTAAGGATAACTCCTTTTCTATCACTACCTTTTCACAGCACCATATTCAATGGACTTTTTCCTTCTTAAAGAAGATGTATGTAGTAGAAACTATCATAACTCTGGTGCACCCCATAACAATGACTCCATTTTAAGGAAAATGGTCCAAATCAAGTTTTTTTCTGTAAGGTTTCTGATCCTCATGCCCTGGATGAGTGAAATCAAAACTACAATAGTACCAGTAACTGATTGGACAAAGAATATATTGTGGACACAAAGAAACCAAATCTCTGGAAGCAGAGAATTTCAAGGTGAAAGATAGCAAACTGATTCAGTCATCTCCTCTATTGAGAAGTATAAATGTTTGATAAATAGAGACTTTAGGGTTATTCTTGAAACTGTTGAAATTAGTCGTTTAGCTCAAATTTTCTCCCCCATCCCGGGGTCCAATGACTGGTTGGTGTGAAGGTATAAAGGCTAAGACTTCTCACTCCACCTCTGAAGGGTCATCCCAGCTTCAGAGTGTCCCTCTACAGCCTGTAATTAGCCAAGGCCACTGTGTAACTGCACTGCAGCTCCGTTATCCACTCTGCTCAATCTTCCTGCCTTCTCTTCCCACAAGTGTTGATCCCATAGCACTCCCTAGTAAACTCCATGCATGGTATTTTTATCTCAGCATCTGCTTTCTTGGCACCTGACCTCTAGTAGCATAACATATAGACCTTCCATTTAAAGCCATTGAAAACCCAGCTCACATGCTATTTTCTTGGCCAAATATACATTCTCTTCCTTATATATGTTATTGTCATTCTTGTTATTCATGACTCACTTAAAAATTTTCCCTTCACAGAAAGCCCTTAGAGTCTAATTTATCTGAATCTATTTGCCACCCTACCCCCCAGGGCACAACTCTAATCATATCACAAAATATATTGTATGTCTCTTTCTTCCAACTAGAGCATAGCCTACTAATGGCTGCTTAACTCTTTAACTAGCACTTTCTTCAACACATAACAGGGACAGTCTAAATATTGAATGTAGAAATTTAAAATGCAGTGTTAAAAGAAAAAAGGGATATATCGATATCACATTGTCATGGCCAGTTATACATGTGAGAAGACTCTCTGTGTAGAGTTGAGGAAGTCTCGTTTACTCTATGTGTCTGCTAAGAAGTTAAGTTACTATTTTTGTTTCTCAGTTTCTCTACTCATCCTGGATGGGCCATTTGAATAACCTTTTCATTGAGTAAAAAATGAAGTGTCTTTCTCTGATGAAAGGGTTGCTTATGTCCTCGTATGTTAAGAGCACTATATGATAAGGATGCAATAGGTAGGGCAGAAGTCCAGGTGGGAGCTTCTCTTCTAACTATTCTAGTCATACTAAAAAATCCTTTTCTCATGAGCCTTTGGTTCTTGTCAGCCTGATGATGGTTAGTCATGCTTTTAACTGCCAAGTAATAACAGAAACCACTGG